CTTGCAAACTTATCTCTCATGGGAGAGTGCAGAGAAAAATACTAATCTGTTCCTGCACCAAAATGGAAATAATTTGTGCAATATACTAGTATACTATGAACATTACTAACATTACACTCCTGATCTGACTAAGATTCTATTCAGTAGAACTGACACTGTACTGCATAATCAGTGTTGGGCTAAAGAGAAGAAATTCCAGGAACCTGAAGGATTTTTAGAGGTGAGCTGACACAAGAGTTTGAAGGATGGGTGATATTAGTCCAACATGAATGTTTCTAATTCATGAACATGTTTCTCAGTTTATCTAAAGCCAGCTAAGTGGCTGCTCATTTGGATGGTTGACTAGTGGTTACTTACCCTAGGACAAAGCAAGAGGCAATCTGGGTGGCATGCCAGATGTGACAACATTTTGCATAATATAAATGAGGGGCAATAAACACTGTAGGCTGCAACTCAGGCATAAGGGAAGCTGGGCATTTGCATGTTGCTGGAGTACAATTCGTCTCAGCACTAGTCAGCATTACCAATAGTGAAGGATAACGAGAACTACAATCCCTCAAATATCTGAATGGCTACATGTTCCCCACCCTCCTATTTATCCTTCATTTTCATTTGGTGATGTGAGTCTAGACTGGTATTCTAATTTTGCAACATGGAGGCACCTTACTTTATTGAGCAAAACGCCACAACCAACTGTTAAGAATTAGAAATAGGCTGTATATTCATATAGAGCAAATGGAAAGAGGTTTATGAATGTGTTAAGATGTGTAGGCCTGCAGTGTGTAGCAACTGAATATTCCATTTTTATTTCAGTCATCCTCCACAGAGCTCTGTCTTTCCTCTTTTCTCTGCAATGCACTGTGAGAGAAGGTGAGGTGATATTAGGGCTTTGGCCCATTTTCTAGTGCCTCCATCATGACAAACACAGCACATTCATTTTTAAAGTGCCAGAATACTTTTTCTGCATTACATTCATGTTCATAATGAACCATTCTAGCACATTACATATTTTTTCAAATTTATGGGGTCAATTATCATTCATTGTCACACAGCACCTGTTTTATAGCAATATAACCCCAAGACATGGCAGACTAGAATGCTAAAGAAATTATCTTTGCCTCTTTATTTGCTTTCCTTCAGCACCCAGAAATATTAAATTGTGGGCTACAACTCCCAGGATTTGGAGCCAGGATGGCCATTGACCTTGATGATGACAGACTTCTTGGAATTGTAGCCTACCCCTAATAACTTTTCCAAAACAACTTTCTCTTTAATTGGACACAGTAAAATGACCTTTTTCTGCTTGATCAAAAACCTGGTTCTGATTATTAGAGTCTGTGTCAAACAAAATTTTAAAAAATCTCTGAGATAAAAAGTTTTGAAGACCCACGGAGTCTGGAATGTCATAGCTATAATGTTATACATCTTCCCTGTTATGCTGGAAGATGTGACAGTTCCTGTGAAAATTAAGCATCTTAAGAAACACACCACCCTTCAAAACTTAGAAATTATTTACTTCATTAAGAAATCAGGATCTGCATACCCAACCTCAGAAATTGGCAGGGCTTTTTTGGTCACTCAGTCTCAGCTCACCAAAGTATTCTGGATCCAAATCCTAATTCCGATTTGCTAGGCTATGTTATCTGTTAATAATTGGCAGTAAGCAACCAGGTAATGTTTCAAGCTTCCATGCTGCATGGCACAGAATAGAGGGAAGGAAGGGAATCCTGAAGAGATCGGATCTTAATGGGAATCTCCCCCTGCCCCATTCTAATGCTAGTGTGGTCCTCAGCTCTGGAGGAGATCCTGTGCCACTTATTTTGGAAAGGAAGAACTCTGAGGGAATCCTGGTGAAGATGGCTAGGAATAGCTGGAATGTGAGGCCTTTTAGATATTTTGGAATTTAAGTCCTTCATTCCTTACCATTAGCCATGCTGGCTGTAGCTCAGGAGTTGTAGTCTAAAATGTCAGGAGGGCCTGGAGACTGGGAAAGCCTGGACTGGAGAGTGAAGATTAGCAGCCAACAGGACAACAAGACTCTCATATTCACTGTCTGACCTGGGCCTCAAACATCTTCTTACATACCTATTTAGAGAGTTAACAAAACACAGTTATCTGTATAGCTGATCTATTAAATGCCTCAGTGACTATGATTGCACTGGCTAGCTCTTTCAAAGCATTTTTAAAGTCTCAGAAAGAACATGCAGTGAGGTGTACTGGATACTGAAATGTATGCATAATTTCTAGAGACATGAAAGGCAGGTCAGAGAAGGAATAAAGGGAGACTTCTAAAAATATTATGCACCTACTTATACCAGGAAGGTCTGGCAATATGTAAAAACGTGTTTATACACACAGTTGTGCGCTCTCTCTCCCTCTGCATAGAGATGGGAAGTGTGTTCATTTGGAGGTGTGTTCGGTTGGCATATAGCTCACACCACCCCATAAATAAATGCACAACATGTGGAAATTCTGCAGGTGTATCTTTGCCCATCTTTATATTGGCGGGACTCTTAGAGGTTAACTTTTTCTCTATCACCTGCATCCTCATAAAAAGCAAAAACTGCGGATTTGTGCGCTGGATGGAACATACAGTACTTATGTCTCCTCCAGCGCTCGGGTTTAGAAGGATGGAGTTATACAGTGCTTAGCCCCCTGAGTGAACCCAGCTTGCAAGTTTCAGTGGAAACGGGTGGCGAGGTTCAGCAGCCTCAGAGGGCAGCGGGAGGGAGGTGGCTGGAGCTACGCGTGGGCTCCTCGCACTGCTTGTCACGTCAGCCAGATTAACGGCCTCCTTAAGTGCCACTTTCGCGGCCTTCGTCTGTATCCCTCGAGGACCCGTCCAGGGGGAAGAAGG